TGGATGATGCTTCAGTGCCGAAAATCCGTGTCGCTCGGGGAGCTCGTGCAGCCGGGTGCCCTTTGCTCCCCTTTCCCAGCACTTTATCCCATTAATCCCAGGCCAATAACACGCTTGTCTAGCGAGCAGCTCCCAAACAAGGGCCATGCACAGCAGGGACAGGGCAGTGCCAGGGAGGCTGCTCCGACATTCCCATCCGGCTCCAGGGTGGGATTGCACCGGGGATCCTGCTTTGGAATGGGAGAGCATGGGAAAGGCAGGATGCTCCGCACACCTGCGTTGCAGCGGCCGCGCTGGCCCGGGGATGCAGCGGGGCCGGGGAGGACGCGGGTGCCGGTGCGGGCGGGCGCCGCGTGCCGGGAGCGTTCCCGCAGGGAATGGCGCCGCTCGGCTCACCCCGTGCCTCTTCCCCCGTGTGCCGCAGGACAAGAACCGCAAGCTGCGGCCGCTCTACGACATCCCCTACATGTTCGAGGCCCGGGAGTTCCTGCGCAAGAAGCTCATCGGGAAGAAGGTAGGCGGCAGGGCCGGGGCTCGCGGGATAACGGATTGGAAAACGGGATTCGGAGAGGGCCGGGGAAGTCCGGCACTGTAGGATGCTCCCAGGACAGCCCAGGCTGGGGCTCGCGCGGGATGCAGGACACGGATGCGCGTGCCCTGTCCCAGGGACGCTGCCAACCTGCGCCACTGTTTTTCCCTTTTTTTCCCTGGCATATTTCTCTGGGCATTTTTAGAGCAATTGGGGGAGCGAGGAACATAATGTGCGCTTAACGACCGAGGCACATGCTCAGGATGCAATTTTCAAACACTCGTAAAATGGTCAAATAAAATCAATTTCCTGGGTGGCACGACAGCTCACTGCTGCTCGTCGAGGGCTATTGCCATGCCTAATTGCATCTTGCCATTTTAGAGCCCTGTTTATATATATATTAAAATAAGATAAAAATAAAATAAGAAAAAAGAAAAGCAGCTCGTGAGACTTTCCTACTGGGAAGTCGGCAACTTTCCTGGCTTGGAATAGGCTGCAGGGAGGCAGATGAGCGTG